ACGCCGACTCGTGGTTCTTTGTCGCCTACCAGGTCCTTATTGCCACGCCTCTATCTCTCGTCGACTCTCCCGAGCTCAAGGACTACGCGGTCAATCTCGTCAGAGAGCTCGAGACGTACTTCTCAACCGCAATCATTGGACAGTTCTCTGCCCGCCTTAGACTCCTGAGACAGCTGCAAAAGCACCTCGAGCTGCTCACAGTCGACTACCCTTCCTTGGCAGTGGTCTCTGACGCGGCCATCAACTTCATTGGTTTCTACTCCCGCTTTGAGAAGATCGTTCACCAAACGATTGTAAAGGGACGGGCGCCGTTTGAAAAGACTATGAAGGAGGTCGTACTGTTGGCCAGCTGGAAGGACACGAACATCAACGCTCTGCGTGAGAGCGCACGCAAGTCTCATTTGAAGCTCTTCCGTCTTGTTCGCAAATTCCGCACCCTTCTCGGACAGCCGATGAAGCCTATCTTGGACCAAGGCATCCCCGACGAGGATGTCCCCATTCCCCAGGACGCAGTGGCCGCGGATGTGATTGACATCAAGGTCGACCCCGCAGCCATTAAGACCTGCGATCAAGGCTTGCCAGGCTGGCTCGCTCAACACAAGCGTCTCTCGAACGCCCCAAAGACGCTGTCCATCATGGCCAACGTTTCTGTCCAGGCGAACCAGAGCCCCCTCGACGCCACCCAGGAGATCATCTCGTACGTCAAGGAGCTCAACACCTCCATCGCCGAGCTACGAAAGGAGACACCCAGCACCTTGACCGATGAGACCAAGGACCAGGTCAAGCACCTCAAGACGCGCAAGCGCAACCTCTTTGCCGACGTGCTCAAGATGATGAGGCAGATGGGCTTCCGATACAACCTCGGAACCGACGAGCTGGCCCGACAAGAGTCTGCAGCCATTGTGCTGGCTGGCTCGCCCGCCTCCGCTGTGCGGGAGGGCAGCACCGACGACGCCGCCGAGTATTACTTCCACAAAGTTGTCGATATTGCGCCCAAGGTCAGAGCCTCGATCCACGAATACTCGGGCGATCTCACCGGTGCCGAGATGCAACGAAGCACCGGTTTTATGGAGGGTATGATGGCCGTCTTACTGGGCCAACACAGCTCTCTGTCTTCTGCTCGTAGTGCAGTTGCCTCACTCGACCGCGCCATTGTCACCGTTGAAAGCTTGAAGGGCACAACTATCAGGCACGATATCGACCGCACGCCCGCAGGCCTCTCGACGAGTTGGATGAAGCCAATCCTGGACTTTGCTATCAAGATTGTGGACGTTCACGGAAGGTTGGCATCGGTCGACAACCAACCCATTTCCAACATCCTACGTACTGCGCTGCAGGAGTTCGAGACCCTGTCGGAGAGCTGGTCTACATCTGCTTCAAAGCACGGCAAGTTCAGCAACGAATCGCACACCAATATGCAGACAAGATACAATTCTGTGGCGAAGACCTTGTATGACGAGCTTCCCACTAGCCGCCGCGATCTTGATTTCATCTTGGAGCAGGTCAAAGGATGGATTTACGTTCCAAATGGCCATGCTCGCCAATTGCCCGCCCTCGATGCCACCGCACAGAAATTCAAGCATGCAATTTCCAGTCTGTGTGATGCCGTCCTGGTTGCGGTTCAAGGATACAAGAAGGCCATGGCTGATCTGCCTAGCTCATCCGACAATGCAGGCTGGCTGGCAAAGACATCCACCGTCCGCAGCTCCGGACTGAGTGCACTCCACATCAACGCAATCGTAGCCAAGGTCGAGGATTGCTTTTCCGCCTTGGAGGTTGTCGACTTGGACAAGGACCAGATGGGTGCAGTCGCCTCGTCACTCTTCTCCATTGTACTCCCGATTCTCCAGCAGTACGCCCTCACCTGTCACCAGAGCCTGTCTCAGCTTCAGAGCCTGCAAGCGGCGACCGGATACATGACATTCAACCTGGCGCAGACGTTTACTCAGCTTGCCGCCAAGGGCTTCTGCTCCCCTCAAGAAAAGTCAGACGAGCAATCTGGGGACTCTGGAAAGATGGAGTCCGGTACGGGTCTTGGAGATGGAGACGGTGCAGAGGACATTAGTAAAGACATTCAACCTGATGAGGACCTCACCGAACTCGCTCAAGAACCCAACAAGGAGAAGGATGGAGAGATGGAGGACGAAAAGGATGCAGTCGACATGGCGGATGAGGAGATGGAAGGAGAAATGGGCAGTGTCAATGGAGATGATGAGGAAGACAAGTCCGACGGAGAAGGCGAAGATGGTGAAAAGGATGAGATGGAGGAAGAGGTGGGCGATGTCGATGACTTTGACCCCACTGCCGTCGACGAAAAGATGTGGGATGGAGACAATGAAGAAGAAGCAGAGAAAGATCAGCAGGGCGAGAAGGCCAAGGGTCAGAAGAAGGACGAGCAGATGGCCGCCGATGCTGACGCCAATGCTGATGAGAATGACGCCGAGGATGACAACAAGATGGATCAGGATGATGACGAGGAGGCGGAGGACGAAGAGCCTGGCCCGGAGCAAGAGGATGCCAAGTTCGAAGACGACCAAGTCAAGCAAGACCAGAACGTCGAAGAGAACGATGCTCTTGAGATGCCCGAGGAGATGGATTTTGATTTTGAGGAGGAAGGCGAAGATGCCGGGTCCGAGGAGGATGAGCTTGACAAGTTGTCCGACGTTGAAAAGGAAGATGCCAAGGAGCAGCATGAATCCGACATTGAGGATGGAGAAGAGGATACCCAGCGACCCGATGAGAAGGGCCCTGAACAGGAAGATGAGGATGGCAAGGAGGAGGAAGCACCCGAGGAAGACCTCGCGGGCGAACCTGAGCTCGACATGGAGCCCAAGGCGGAGGAAGAGGAAGAAGAGACCGCCGAGCAAGAGCGACCCGATGCCCTCGCGGAGCCGCCCAAGGAAAATGCCAACGCTGACGCCAACGCTGCGCCGAGCGACGTCAAGGGCGGCGGCCAGGACCAAGACGTCGACCAGATGGACGTCGAAAATGACTTCAACAACAACGCCGCCCAGCGCGACGACGGCGACGCGGGTGAAGGTTCCGCAGAGCAGCAGACGAGTGCCGGAAAGAAGGGCCAGCTCTCCCGGTCCGACGACCAGGCGCAGCCGACCGATCAGGACCAGGACGACTCGGCCGAGGAGAAGAGCCGCCAGGATCCCTTCAAGAAGCTTGGCGATGCTTTGGAGCGCTGGCATCGCCAGCAGAACGATATCAAGGACCCCGAGAAGCAGGATGGCAAAGAGGACGGTGAGAAGAAGCAGCCGCAAGATGCCAGCGCGGACCTCGGCGCCCGCGAGTTCCAGCACCTCGAGGATGACGAGACCGCTGTCGATGCGCAGGCCATGGGCTCCGCATCTGAGGACCAGGTGCAGCCGATAGATGAGGCCATGGCCATTGACGAGGAGAAGGAGGACCCGCAGAGCCGCGTGATGCCCGAGGACCAGGATGTGGAGATGGAGCAGGACACCGCAGACAAGATGGATACCGAGGCGGATGAGGCCCCCGAGGCACAGGATAAAGACGGTGGCGCCGACAAGGACGATGGCCGTTCGGGCGTTAAAACGCGACAGGGCAACTTTGACCGCGAGCCGTCGCCCGAGGAAGACGAGGTCCCCAGAGACGGTGACCAGGAGGAGGAGCAAGCCATCGAAGAGACGTCAACGCAGCTCTCGACGACGCACATCAGCGAGGACGACAACACCCTACCCCTCGGCGACTTCTCCGAAGCCCTCCAGTCCTGGACGACCTTCCAGACCAAAACCCACCCGCTCTCCCTCTCCCTCACCTCCCAGCTCCGCCTCATCCTCACCCCGTCCCAATCCACCAAGCTCTCGGGCTCCTACCGCACCGGCAAACGCCTCAACATCAAAAAGATCATCCCCTACATCGCCTCCTCCTACAAGCGCGACAAGATCTGGATGCGCCGCGCCGTGCCCACAAAACGCTCCTACCAGATCCTCCTCGCCGTCGACGACTCCCGCAGCATGGGCGAGTCCTCCTCTGGCAACCTCGCCCTCGAGTCCCTCGTCATGGTCTCCCGCGCCCTGACGATGCTCGAGGTCGGCCAAGTCGGCGTCCTCGGCTTCGGCGCAGACACGTTCTTAGCGCACGATTTCGCCTCCCCCTTTGCCTCCCACGACGCCGGCGCAAAAGTCCTGCAGCACTTCCACTTCAAACAGGACCGCACCGACATCGCCCTACTAGTCCGCCGCACAATCGACCACTTCCGCGCCGCGCGCCTGCAGAACCCGTCGCGCGGCGGCGGCACAGAGGACCTCTGGCAGCTGGCGCTCATCCTGTCCGACGGCCTGACGCCATCGAACCAGCACGAGCCCATCCGCCGCCTGCTCCGCGAGGCCATGGAGGAGCGCATCATGGTCGTCTTCATCGTCATGGACGACACGGGCAACAAGAAGGGCGACAGCGTGTTGGATCTCAAGGAGGCGAAATTCGTAAAGGACGAGCACGGTGTGAGCCGCGTCGTGATTGAGAGGTATCTCGATACCTTCCCCTTCCAGTACTACTTGATTGTGCACAACCTTGAGGACCTACCCGGCGCGTTGGCTGGGTTGTTGAGGACCTGGTTTGCCGAGGTCAACTCGTGAAGGGAAACATAGAAAAGAAAAAAATGGGGAAATCAGGAAGAGAAAAGTTGTACGTGTTTTTAGTGATTTCGTGGTAACATGGAGTTTGGGACAGGATTCATCATTGTCACTGTTGTTATTTGCGGGATTAGGACGGCGTTGAAAAATGCGCCTTTTCAAAAGTTTTAGAATTAGACAGAAATCAAAAGCAAGGCATTGCCAATTACATTCCATTGTATTGTAAAGCTAGCCGTGGACTTTCTTATGTGGTATCAACCCGGGCCGTAGCCGCCGTAGCCAGCGCGTAGAATTGCAAAGAGAGGGAAAATACACTCCAAGACCACCCTTGAACTCCATATCCTAACCGGTCCATCCTCGCGTCCTTTTAGGCCTCAACGGGAGAAATGCAGCACGCTAGGCGCTCTCAACTCTGACCTTCTTGGCCGCACCTTGCTCCTCGCCGTCATCCACAGACTTACGCTTGCTGCCCGAGTCCTCGGCGGAGGAAGCAGCCATGTTCTTCACCCAACGAGCGTGCCAGTCAAGAATTCTGGCGTACTCGAGCTCGACGCTGACCAGGGCCTCGTTGAGCTTCTCTGACCGCTCAGACTGGTCCAGTTGACCGAGCACATCGGCATTCTGCCTGTACAGGCGCTGCTTCACAAACAGCTGCCACAGACGGTACTGATGCTTGTCCTGCTTGGTAGGTGTCGGCTTCTTCTCATCGCCGAATCCTACCCGGACAGACTCGGGAAGCTGTGACATGGTCTGAATCTCAATCAGGCGCTTGAACTGACGCTCGACGATCTTGGTCTTTTGACGAAGCTCTCTAAGAAGCTCCTGGTCCACTAGGTCCTTGGGTACGGTGCCGCTGGGAGGGCTAGGGATAGCAATGCTCGTATTGATCTTCACCTTGCTGAACTCTGGCAGTGCCCGCAGGAAGGTGATATCAGCCAAGTCGCGCATGTCATCGAAAGCCTCGTTGGGATCCTCCACAGTCAGCTCCAGGGTCTGTGGGTTGTTGTAGTAATGCTCGAAGATGGTCTTGTAGAGGCGGGCACCGATGCCCTTGCCCTGGAAAGGCGGCAAGATCAAGAACTGCGACAGACGAGATCGGCAGGGCAGCTCCTCCAGCAGGTTAAACTCCTCCTTCGGCAGATCCCACTCGGATGACGGCGGCGTCGGCGGCCGAAAACAGAAGAATTTGTAAATGGTTGAGTAACCGACAAAGGTGTAGGAAGGCTTGTCGGAGGTCTCTGGGGATGTCTGCTTCCTGTACAGGAAGAATGTAGTCCAGCGATTGGCATCCTCGAGGACCTTCCACGGGTCCTCCTCATTTTCCGGGTCGCGAGAGACGTACGAGCCACCTTCGATGAACATTGGAACCATAATCTCGACACGGGTGACGATTTGACGGACAGCAGGGTCCGCGAGGCTTCCCTTCCACACCTCGTACGTTCCGTCAGGTCCCTCGAAGCTCGAGTGTAGGCTGCCGGGAGGAGTCCAGTCGGCGGGTTGGCTCTGAGAGCTTGTGTTGAATTCGCGTGCGGGCTGGAAGGCGACTGCGATAGATTCATGGTCAGCGAAATGTCTTCGTCCGCGACAGAGCAGCGTGACTTACCCAACGGCAGGTGCTCCTTCAAAGTCGCATCGACGTCCGCCGCCTCAGTCTCTCCAACGGACCGGAACTGCTTGCCGTAGGTTATCTGAACATTGGGGCGCATGTCGAACGTGCGATAGCGCAGGTTGATCTTGAGATCCTTGTATCCAAAGATGCGTTCATCATCGCCGAAGATGGAGTACGTAAACTTGGGGTTGAATGTGGCAATCGTCTTTGTAGCCCCGGTAGCAGGTGCGATCAAGCTGATGTTCAGTGATTCGGTGGCGTTGGCCGACCCTATCCAGCGTGTCAGTGATCGCTGCGACGATGGGGTACGAGGAAGTTGAGATTCATACACTCGTCAGTCTCAGCCATGGTATCGATGTAGGTATGGTGGGAGAGACGATGCTGTGAGTATTCTGCGGCCTTCTTGTGCGAACAAGGAAGTATTGCGATGAAAAATTCGTCGTCTCGCGGCTACAATAAAAGGCGCTCGAGGTTTTGTTTGTTTGTCGAAGTTGTCCTCGAGGGTCGATCGAGAGCTTCTTTTTTTGCGACGAAATCAGCCTCGGGGGGAACGCGCAGTCTAAAGCAGTGTCGCGACGAGACGCGCCTGTAAGTTAATTGAGCCCCGCTGCAGTTGGATTGAGTGGCTCACGACAGTCGAGCCCTCTTGGATCAATCGGTTCGAGGAGCGCTAGTACCTAAAATGCCTTAGCTCTGGTCTATCCTCACAGCAGCCGCAGAAGGAGCAAGCAGCAAGCAGCAGGAAGCAGGAAGCAGCCACGGGAAGGACCCACAGGATTGCGACATGGGGTGACAAGGCCCAGAAGGGGGGCGCCTGGAGCCTAGGTACGCAGTAGAGGGGAATTCCAAGGGCATCAAGGGGGGTCACAGAAAGCGAGCAAGCAAGGAACCTTGGAAATGCCAATAGAAATGTCTAGCGACCAATGATGTTGCGCCCGCTGTCCCGGTAGGTGCGCCATCCATTGCGAGCCATCTCAGCTCCCCCAACCTCGACGATAATTCTCCCTGTGCACTCCTAGCTCTCAAATTTAACCTAAAGAGAAGGAAAGGGCAAAGAAAAGAGTCGAGGGCAGAAGTTCGAACAGCTCAATCTTTTTGGCCATCTGCCGATTTCCCACCTCAGCCAATCGCAACCGCGCCAGAGCTGCCATCGACAATTGAGGAACTTCAGACATGCTGGCGTGATCCAACAAAGCCTCGACCAACCCTCTTCCACTCTCTCTTCTTACTCTTCCCTCTCAACCGTCCCTCTCCAATTTACGCACACGCCGAATCGCAGTCGGATCGACGCTCTCTACTCGAGTATGGGAGGACTACTGTTGCTGCTCTTGCTGAGCGTACGTACCCTTGTTCTCTTACACCAACCTTACCTGCCTTGACGTTGGGTAGCTTCAGCTCCTAGCCAGGCGGTAGACTTTAGAAAGCTATGCATAATAGAAAGCTAACAAATCATCTTCGCGATAGACGGTCATGGCCTTGGCGTAGGTTGCACACGGCGATGCTTGCCCCCCAGCCTTCCGAACCCTCCGTAAAACTGACGACGTATCCCGCGATTTCCCAGGTCCTTCTTCGCCGGCTCACTACCACTCGCGATAACCCTCACACAGTCGCAACTCCGATTGATATCAAGCGTGGGAGTCGGTATATTGGTCGGGACATCTATGATTGTCATCATACCCGAAGGTATCGAAGCTGTCACAACCACCGGCGGGCACTCGCATAGCAAAAGGAGCTTGGTGGATGCGGCTGGAAAGCAAGGGAGGCCCGCTATTCGATGGGTGACAGAAGGAGAAATACCCCAGTTGGCAGACACTGTCAGCTCTGTGCGGATTGTTGAAGAAGAGCTTCATGCCATTGGCCGTGATGTGGAATACACTGCAAAGCTGCACAGTCGGGAGGAGCAGGACGAGCATGGCCACGAGCAACCCCCGGCAGCCGCCCCCGGCCCCGAACCTCATCACGATGAGCCGAAGCACGAGAACGAGGTACCGACCTTCTACATCGGCCTTTCCATGATCCTCGGCTTCGTTCTCATGTACCTCATCGACAGGCTGCCCCGTCACGCAGCAGGCGGCAGCGGATCAGAGCCGCAGATGCGTCACGTCAGTCTGGATAACCTTGGTGGTTCATCGAGCGTTGGCGACGAGGAAACGGAAGGCTTCCTCGGGCCTCTTGCGCCTCCACCAAAACAATCTCGAAGCCTAGCAACTACCATCGGTCTGGTGATCCATGCCGCAGCGGACGGCATTGCCATGGGCGCGTCCACGTCCACGTCAAACACCAAGTTGGGGCTTATAATATTCGTCGCCATTATGGTCCACAAGGCGCCAGCAGCATTTGGTCTGACATCGGTGCTTCTGAAGCAGGGGTTGTCCAAACGAACGGCGCGAGGACATCTCATCGTCTTCAGCCTCGCTGCCCCTTTTGGAGCTCTTAGTACCTGGGCCATCATTCGAATCTTGGGCGGTGGAAATTTTGAGGGAGAATCTGGTCAGTGGTGGACGGGTATGCTTCTGCTCTTCTCAGCAGGAACGTTTCTGTAAGTTTGGACAACAGCCCACGGTTGAAGCGTGAAAAGCTACTGACGACCTGCCAGGTTTGTTGCGATGCATGCCATGCAGGAAGACGGCAGCTCTCCTAAGCACGAACACGGCGGCATGAACGGCTATTCCGACGGAAATGGCACACAAAGGGGCCAGCAGAGGCCGCAGATGCGTGATACTTTTGCGACAGTTGCTGGCATGCTCCTGCCGCTTCTTACCCAGTTTGGACATCACCACTGAGCGATTGCCTGTGCGATTGACAAGGGTCTCTTGTATCTCGAGAAAGAAAGAAAAAGGCGTAATGTCGGGACTTGTTGTACGAGTAAATCGTGGCACCAATAGGGCCAGGTCCTTCTGATACATGACGATGATAATTGTGTAGACTTCCATAACTTTGAGTTCGTATCTGAATCTGGAGGAAATAAGTCCAGATGATGTATTTTAGGAATCTGTACTATTAGATCGTCCAGAAGCGCTTTCGAATCTCCATAGAACGCATGGCAGTCGCAAAATTTCGCTTCGACGCGTTCCAGAAGCTGCAGTTCCGAGTCGAGTGGCTCGGAATCAATCTGAACCTTTCGAACTGACCCGGTGGTCCGTTGATCGGGGCCGAGGAGCGCGGCCTATGTGTGCTATGCTATTGCTAGGTATTGCTGGCGCAAGGATGGGAGGGGCCGGCTCGACGGGCGCCAGGGCAGCCCTTGTCGACCGAGCGTCCAAAGTTGAGCTAGGTTTTTGGTCGGGGTGTTTCAAGTTCGTACGACGACCTTGGCTCCAGCGAGGCGCTCATGGCGCCGCCTCCTGGTCACTGGGTTGGCTCAGAAGGATTGACGGCCCTTGGCATCGCATTCGCTTGTCCTTGTCCGAGCCGGGGCGCGGAGAACCCTCAGCGACGGAAAGAAGCAAATAGTATCCGTACTGTTCAAGTAGTAAGTAGGACGAGTCGAGGTTGAAAGAAGGAGAGGTGTCCGCAGCGTCAACGTCGAGGAAAAGATCTGCAAGGCTGAACGCTGCATTTGGATCACTACGCATCTGCTGGTTTGTTGTTCGTTACTTCAGGCCCAGATCATCCCATGAGTAAGCTGACATTGCCTGTCCTCCCATTATCGAACAATCCGATGTTTGAGAAGCAAGGAGGACTTGAGTTTCGAGAGAGTGAACCCTAGTGGGCCCGAGCGCAAGAGGATAACTGCACCCCTTCACTGTAACATCGAGGTAGATCTGAAGCATCTGAGCCGCCAGTGTCGCAAATGGATGGCCCTCTACAGCGTAGAGAGTAGATAATGTTGCTGCCGCCTGCGCAGTTGCTGCTCACCATTGGCCAACTCTTTTTGCAACTTTTCTCAGTCGCATTCAGCGGATGGTTCAGATGCAGATTTGCTTTTCGGCCCCATGGGACACATGGAGGTAAAAGTTCCCAGTATTGATTGTATCGCAACCATGCTAGTCGGATCGAGAGATAGGCTTGAGGAACGCGGGACCAACAATAGGGACGCTCCCTTACAGGTAGGGAGGTCAATTCGGCAGCGACAGGTACTTGTCCGAAGGAAGGCTTAGCGTCCAGGATCTGCAGTTCGGCTCGACTCGACTCGGGCACAAGCACGCTTCTTCCATTGGAAGAGAAAGCGGTTGAACTCTGGAAAACATGTTGCTGGCTGCCGCTGGTAAAGCGCAACCTGATAGTTTCAACCGACAGATTGACAGGGCACGAAGAAATACCAGAGAGTATCATAGGTAGTTTAGCGGGTTCTCTTGCTGGCAAGTCAACCATGTCTCGTGCGCTGTCGCAACGACCTGCCTAGTCTCCGTCCGCGAACGTCAACGAGTTGTTGTGTCCGTATTCGTAGTGTTGTTGTGTCATTGGGTTCGACAACGAGCAGAGAAATGGCCAGAAGTCGTCTCTTTTCCAATCGAAAAGGCACTTATCCAAAGGCCAGAGCGCCGTCGCATGCGCATGGCTGCGGTGGAACCTGGGCGGAATTATGAGTCGATAGTTGCAAAGAAACACTGAATATGCGAAATTGGCTGTTCCTGCAAGACCTTGGAAGACAACATCCCAGACAATAGTGCCGACTCTCAGGGTTCAGAGATGGGAGGGCGGCTGTGGCTGCCCTCCAAGACCGGGGAAAGACGCAGCGAAGTCATTTTTCAGCTTACACGCCAGACTCCGTGACTCCCCCATCGCGCCATTGTGCCTGCCCCATCCCAGGTTGAGAGAGAGGTGTGGGAACTTGAAAGAGCAGAGGGTACGGAGCGCCTGGCAAGCCAATAAGTGAGTGCGCTGGACGACTCGGGCCTGTGTAGAGTGAAGACAGACTCGTTCGCGACTTTGACATGAAAGAACCGATCGACGTCACGAATACCCACTACGGTGCCTCCCAAGTGCAGACGAGGTGGACACTAGTTGGTGGCATGTAAGCGCCGCTAACTCGGACCCTGCAGGCCACCCCGGAGGGCAGAGAGATGTGGTTTATTGTTTGCGGCGACTCCAAAGAATGTGAGACGTGCTCTTGACTCTCTCTGTCAGCTGGTCTTGGTTAGCCTGTAAAAGACAATAGACCCGAAAGTCAGTCATGCGTAGGTATGTACGAGCAACAATGGTCTTTGGAAGTCGGGGAAGTAGTGACAGCGTTTAAATGTCCGATCGCGACCAGTGTCGAAGGAATGGGTTTGTTGGCTTCCTTACGACCGCATTCGAGCTCTTCCGTGGCGATAACGGGCTGACAGAATCGGCAAGCCAACCGCCAAGGCCTACGAGAGAAAGTTGATAGTTGCCGAGACTGCCCATACCGTCATTACTTGTTCGTTTGTAGAGCGTTTTCAGAGCCCGTTGAAGGCTGTCATTCCAAAGCCGGAGGTAACAAAAGTGACGACAGGCTTGCCCCAAATGTCGATATCTAGATAGACTAGGACGAGCGGCCGACGTTGATATTCCTAGGCAAGAAAGCGAGCGTGTGCGTTTGTGTAGTTGGCAGTGGTTTCGCTGGTGGGTGAAAGTGTTGTGTGTGTGCGTGTCCGTAGTTTATTCGTAGTAGTACATGGACGAGGTGTGCCGGGGTGGTGTGCCTTCCATCGTAGACGATGTGCGCTTTGAGTAGATTACCAGGCCGGCTCTCGAGTGTCAAGTGTCAGAGCTGTAAAGGAGGGTTGGTGTCAGTTTAGAGGAGGACAGCACGGAACGAAACAACGCTAGAGAAAGACCCAGAATAAAAGTCTGGTTTGTTTGGGAATCATGAGCCTGAGCCTGCGTCGGTGTCTGAAGAGAGAGAAATCCATATTGACGGTAGTCGTGTTGGTGCAAGAAAGGAGGCGGTGTGAGAATGAGTAGGCATTGTCTTTGTGTAGGTGATTCAACATGAGATGACGTTTCCTCCCCCTCTCGTCTTCCTTAGAGGCTTGCTTGATTACCTACCTACATGTCGAGTCGAAAAATTGAATTGTTGTTGGACTTACTTGTCTTGTACGAAAAGGCGAGAGAGCTCTTTGTACCCTGATCGGGTGTAAAGTAGGTAAGGTAGGTAGGTAAGGTAAGGCGAGGTACCTACCTACCTGAGTACCTACCTTACCTAGTGAGGACTGGCTTCGACAAGATCAATCAGCTTCAATGCGCCTTCCATCCATTCTTCGCCGCCCCTTCTTCTCTCCCTCTTCCGTCCATAGTGTGTCTGTGTTTCTCTCGCTCTCTCGCGGTTGGCATGCCGGATCCATTATGTGCCACCTACCAAATCAAGTAGTAAAGTAGTAACCCGTCGCTCAGGTCCGTATACAGAGTAGGCTGTAACTTTGGGTTTATCGTGTTGTATCCAAGTGGTGAAAGAAGACAAAGAAAGACGAATGCACCGTGACCTGGGTGGCACTGGTACTTGCACTTGCACCTGCCCTTGTCCCGCGGTCTGCTCCTTCCAATCCCTCCCCAAAATGCTCTCTACAACCGTGGAAGGCGCTGTACCTCGTACCTGCGTACCTACCTTTTTTCTACCCACATCGTCTCGAGCCCAGGCCTTCTTCGGCGCACCTGCTCATAGCGCGGTCCCGTCGCGCCCCCTTGCCCTTCCCGTCCCGTCCTCTCTGCATCCTCCATCCTTTCCTTCCCCCGAAAACCAGGGCCACCCACCGCCTCCACCTTCGCCTTCGCCTTCACCTTCGCCTCTGAGGTGCGTTCCACCGTCACATTGCTTCCAGCTTGGTTTATTACCTGCCCATAGCCAGGTACCGTGCCTTTCAACTTGGCTGAGCGTCTTGAGCCTTGACTTCCTCTCGATCTCTCCTTCCGTCTGCACCAGCTCTGCCTTTCTTTGGTCTTGCTCGTCACGGTCCCCAAGTACCAACTTCTTTCACCCATTTCCTTCCTCTTGTCTTCCCTGTCCGGAACACACACCCATCTCTCCCTCCCACACCCATCCACACACACTCTCTCGCAGAGGCGTACGGAGTAGACGTGCTCAGAGTCAGTCTGTCTTACCTCAAAGTGCCTGGGCCTATCTCGTCCCTCTCCTCCTTCACTCCCTCTTCCCCAAGATCCCCAATCCCGGCCTACAAACACTCTGCAGCTGGATTTCTCCTCTCCAATCCAATCCCATCCCTTCTCCTCTCTTTCTTCCCCCCTCCTACCCATCTTTACCATCGCTCCCTACAACGACAACCACAAAAAAAAAGGCGAGAGACATTACATTGCAGGGAGCTGCAAAAGGCATTTGGGCGTCAATCAAGCGAAATCCTCCGATACCACCAAACAATCCACTTTCTATTGAGTCGCCCTGGAGCATTCCACTACAAGGTCCAAGACGACCCACGCTTTCCGCTTGACACCTCCGATTGTTAAGCTTCCCGTCTCCCGTTGGCCCCATACTCCGTACACATACAGCACGTACGCTATTCACTACCGCTGCGGCACCGCCAAATAGAACCTCCCATCGTTCCAAGTCGACTTCCGATCTAGAGATTGACCACCTTCAACGTTTCCCACCCGACGCCGCCACTTCCCCATGGGAGACATCCCACCGCCTTGCCCATACGCATTCGCACGCAATATCCAATATCGTCGCCGAACCGAGTCATTGCCGTCATCCGAGTCGCTCGAGCCCGTGAGACTTGCGCATTGATTTCCAACGTGCCTACGATTTGCCATCACCCCCTCGTGCTGTCGTACAGTCCTCGCCTCGACAGACTCGGCAGATATTGCGTCGACTTCACACTGACCAGGACTTTTTTCTTCTCTCCTTGCCCATCTGAGCTGTCGCGCCGACCTGGTCATTTCCTGAGAGTCCACTGATTTTCGATTATAAATGAACCCTCGGTAACGACTCCGCATACTACGAAACGGCCTCCGAGTCCACCTACGTTCGACGACCGCATCAAGGGAACTCCTCTCGGCGAAGCCTTATTCACCCACGAATACTCAGTCGACGATAATTCCAAATACGATTGCTTCATATCACAAATCATCATGGCAGGCTACAACAATAGACCACTAAGTTTCTCTGAGAGAAGGGGGAGCATGCTCAGCGACGACATGACGCTCAACACTGGATCCAGTTCCAGCAGCACCAGACTCGAGAAGATGCCTCAAAGGCCGGGGCACATCAGAGGACCGCCCACACCCAGCATGACTACTCCTGCTGCAGACTTCGATCAGCAGTTGACGGGCTCGCCACCTCCCCCGCCCACACCAGCTGCCTCGCCAGGCCCCTCACATCATCAACTCGACTGGAGCGATGCCGCCGACGACGAAGATTTCTTTCTTGCCAAAGTGCGCCATCACTTCAAGAACTCTGGCGCCCCTCACCGTACTCGCCTCCTGGCCGATCTTCTGAACATGTGCACAAGTCAACAGCTGAGCTTCGTTCACCAGTTCGTCAGCCCTCTTCTCAAGAAGGATCCATTCACGAGCCTTCCAGATGAGCTGTGTTTACGCGTAAGAAAGTCCCAAATTCCCAATTGGTTCGCTCTGCTGACTTAATCTACTCAAGATTCTCTCATTTATAGATGACCCCAAGGTCTTGGCCCGTGCCTCGCAAGTATCCCGGAGATGGAGAGACTTGTTGAGTGATGACATGACGTGGAAGAACCTTTGTGTTAAGCACGACTACGGCAGACGCCTGTCTGAAGTTGCTTCATCGATGGGCAGCGGATCTCGACCTGGTGCCCAGCCTCTATGGGGAGACGACTACGCCAGCAGCAGTTTCCCAGGTGCGTTGCCTATGACGGCTCATGCTTCTGGATCCCGTAGTCTTGATGGGACCGGCAATTCAAGACCCAAGATGAGGTCTTATAAATCGCACTTCAAGCAGCGATATCTCGTCGAGGCTGCCTGGAGATCCGGTGGCACTAGCACCACTAGGAACATCACTCAGGAAGGTGGTGTAGTTACGAGCTTGCACTTGACACCCAAGTACATTATTGTGGCCCTTGATAATGCCAAGATCCACGTCTTTGATACCAAGGGCAATCAGCAACGCACTTTACAGGGCCATGTCATGGGTGTCTGGGCGATGGTTCCTTGGGATGACATTCTCGTCAGTGGTGGGTGCGATCGTGACGTGCGGGTATGGAACTTGGCTACAGGGTATGTTGACTTGAAACGGTACAGCAGCTTTAGATATACTAACTTTGCCAGTGCTTGCCTCCACACGCTCCGTGGACATACATCAACGGTTCGGTGTCTGAAGATGTCTGATGCAAACACGGCGATTTCGGGCTCGCGCGATACGACGCTTCGAGTATGGGATATTCGCACCGGTTTATGCAGAAACGTTCTTGTCGGCCATGGCGCTAGTGTTCGATGCCTCGAGATCAAGGGAGACATCGTCGTGTCAGGCAGCTACGACACCATGGCGAAGGTCTGGAGCATATCTGAGGGCAGGTGCATCCAGACACTCCAAGGTCACTTCAGTCAGATCTACGCCATTGCCTTTGACGGCAAGAGAGTTGTCACTGGCAGTCTCGACACCAATGTCCGCATCTGGGATCCCAGGACAGCGTAAGTGCACTGGATACCACAGGTTTTCGTTCTGTTTTGGCATGCTAACCAATTTCAGTGAATGCCTGGCTATCCTGCAAGGTCACACCTCCCTCGTTGGTCAGCTGCAGATGCGTGGAGACACCCTCGTTACAGGCGGCTCAGATGGGTCAGTGCGAGTTTGGTCACTGGAGAAGATGTGCCCCATTCATCGGCTTGCGGCTCACGATAACAGCGTGACCAGCCTGCAGTTTGATGATACGAGGGTCGTCAGTGGTGGAAGTGACGGCCGGGTCAAGATCTGGGATCTGAAAACAGGTCACCTGGTCAGAGAGCTCATTGCTCAAGGAGAGGCAGTCTGGAGGGTGGCTTTTGAAGATGAGAAGTGTGTCGCTCTGGCTTTGCGACAAAACCGTACCGTCATGGAGGTAAGCTGTCGTTCTTTGGGAAATTTGGGTGGTTCTCGTTGCTAACCAAGATTACTAAGGTGTGGTCCTTCTCTCCTCCGGAAGATGTTCTTTACGACCGTCCACTCTCTCTTCAACAGCGAGTCCTTCAGGAGGCGCCCAATCGACCCTTGAGCGCCATGCAGCTCGACTATAGACAAACGCAGCCCACTGTCGCTGGGTCCAGTCGAGAAGCTGCTGGAAGTCAAGATGTTGACATGAGAGACGCTGGTCCTTCTACAGCCCCACTTCAGGGCGGTAACAAGACTTTCTTCCATGACGACTAGATGTAGTCGGCCGTACATGGAAGCCTCCCGCTTGGCTAGCTAATGGCTTTGAACGGCGATACGGATTCGGTCGCAGGTGCACCGAACAACTGCGTTACCATGGCATCAATGAGGCGTTGCGGTTTATTTGGTGATTGACGAATTCACACACGTCATGAAACGGCCATTTCCCACGAGCTCCCCATCCTAGATTGGGGTAGCTTGAGAGATAAAAGTGTCGTCTTTTTTGGAGTTGGTCAGGAAGCATCATGTGCATTTCAAAGGATGGCCAGCATGGGTTTGACAGCATTGGGGATGCAATTTCAGTGGTTTAATTGGCGACAATCGAAGGATTAAGACTTCAGGATGCGAGCTCAAGCAAATTTGAGCATGCGGTCAGCCAAGCCAGACCTTTAATATACCCCGAGGTAGCGTATTGTAGAGTTATATACCGCCTCAGAACAGGTGTGATGGACTTGCGGCTTGAGGCTTGAGCTCGATGCACGGAGTTCCGGTTTGATGTGCGATGAGTAAGGTACTTAATCTGACGTACTTTTCTGTTGTGCCTATCCGTACATGGACAAAGTATAAAGCCGCTGCCATTGTGGATTTTGATATCATTCCTTGCAACCACGGGACATGGCATATGCGAAGGATGGGGAAATGCCCCCGTTGAGTTGGATAACCTGTGGCATCATTCATTCAAGTTCAATGGCATTCCTAGGTACCTAGTGACTAAGGTACCTCCGATCGGAAGCCATATTTCGTCCTAATCTGCTCTTATTAAGGTAACTTATTACGGATAGAGTAAGGTAGGGGTTTGGGTTTTCGCGGCGATTGGACCCAGTGCTGGGTTCTGTTTCCCTGCTATCTCCGAAGGCCGCTCTCGCTGTCCACTGAATGCGAACTCGATGGGACCCGTGCGAGAATATGACCGACCGTTGGAAGCCAGGCCCGCCAAAGTCACAGCGCGCTCGAAGTTCACACCTCGCAAATCCCGTTGAGGCAAGGTCACGTGTAAGCAGGCTAGCCACATACGGACTAGTAGTTTTCAACAAGCAGCAGCTCCCTTCCCAACCAACGCCGCGATTTTTCGGAGCTCCAGCGACCAAATAATTTGTTATCACCCTCCTTCCCCCGAACCCTTCTCATCCTCATCGTCCGGAGGCTCCATCATCACCACCCCCACGATGTTCTCCCGCGCGATCAGGTTAAACAGAGCAGTGCCTCTGCGCACTCGCGCCCCGGCCACTTTTGCTGCTGCATCCCGGTCCGTCACCACCAACGCTGCATCGGCAACTTTGGAGAAGGGAGTTCCCCAGGTCAGTTTGCGCTCTTTTCCCATCGCCACATTCGCCGGACATGCTGCGACAACAAAACGCCCCTAGATATGGAGGCATGCTCAATTGTATCCTGCTAACCTGCAACCCTACTCTAGTCCGACGATGAGCCTTTCCAGATCACCCTGAGCGATGAGAGCTTCGAGACCTACCAGCTCGACCCCCCGCCGTACACCCTCGATGTCACGAAGAAGGAACTGAAGCAGATGTACAAGGATATGGTTGTTGTCAGGTACGGACAAATTTGTCTCTCTGCGAAAACGTATTCGCTTTAGCTTTGTTACTCACCCTTTGCGCAGACAACTCGAGATGGCCGCCGATCGCTTGTACAAGGAGAAGAAGATTCGTGGTTTCTGCCACTTGTCCACCGGTCAGGAGGCTGTCGCTGTCGGCATTGAGCACGCTCTTACCCGCGAGGATGACTTGATCACTGCTTACCGTTGCCACGGCTTCGCCTACATGCGTGGCGGTACCGTCCGCTCCATCATTGGTGAGCTGTTGGGCCGCCGCGAGGGTATTGCGTACGGCAAGGGAGGTTCCATGCACATGTTCACCAAGGGTTTCTACGGTGGCAACGGTATCGTCGGTGCACAGGTGCCCGTCGGTGCTGGTCTGGCTTTCGCCCACAAGTACACTGGTCGCAAGAACGCCTCCGTTATCCTGTACGGTGACGGTGCCAGCAACCAGGGCCAGGTCTTCGAGGCTTTCAACATGGCTAAGCTCTGGAACTTGCCCGCCCTGTTCGGCTGCGAGAGTGAGTTTTTAACGTTATGAAAGGTCATCGCATCGGCCATGCTAACGAACTTCCCCAGACAACAAATACGGTATGGGTACCGCTGCTGCTCGTTCATCAGCCCTCACAGATTACTACAAGCGCGGGCAGTACATTCCTGGTCTCAAGGTCAACGGCATGGACGTCCTCGCCGTCAAGGCCGCCGTCAAGTACGGAAAGGACTACGCTGTTGCCGAGAACGGACCCCTCGTCCTCGAGTACGTTACCTACCGCTACGGTGGTCACTCCATGTCCGACCCTGGTACCACCTACCGTACTCGTGAGGAGATCCAGCGCATGCGTTCCACCAACGACCCCATCGCCGGCCTCAAGCAGAAGATCATGGACTGGGAGGTTGTCACTGAGGACGAGCTCAAGACCATTGACAAGGAGGCCCGCAGCTTCGTCAACGAGGAGGTTGCCGCTGCTGAGGCCATGGCCGTCCCCGACACCACCCCCAAGATTCTCTACGAGGACATCTACGTCCCCGGTACCGAGCCCCAGTTCATCCGCGGCCGCACCCCTGATGAGACCTACTACTTCAACTAAATTCCTGCGCATGATGAATAATTGTTTCCTAACCTTTCTGTCCTATTGTACAATACCTACTAGCTAGAGAGGGTGAAGTGGTCACAATCTGAACATGGCCAGGGTCTGCAGATATCCTCCTGGTTCGACAAATTCTTAGTCCCTCTTTGTGACATCCAGCACACTGTGATATGACATGCACATTGCTCATGCCTCATAAAATTTGAAAAGCTCCTCTCGGCACGGCGCACTTACAATAGACCGACAACGGGCAGTCTTCTTCCAGTGCATTAAGCCCAATCGGGGTGGTTCAGAAAACTTTCCCGAAGCGGCGCAGTGGTGGTCCAGGTCGCTGCCTACCGTGCCTACCGTGCCTGCCCATGCTGCCTGGAAAGTTTCTGTGGGCCCGTGCAGCTACGGGTCCTTTTCGCGTCACCAGGCAGGAGCTCTTAACGCGATTCTTCTGCTCCAAGCGCGTCGAGGTTCCCCAGGGTCCTCCTACAACCTTCATGTCTGCTCTTCCCCGCCTTCTGAGCAGTTCAATCGGTCAAAGAAACGTACTTGGGGCAGCGTTTCATACCAGCTTTCGACTCTTCACTGTCTACACTCGACCAGCCATCACAATGGCGCCAAAGCAGGCGACGCTGGGGTACGTCAAGCCATCTCAGACAACGTTGGGGTGTGTGAAAGGACAATGCTCCTAGGACTACCACGGATGCAATGGAATTATTTCCAATTCTAGCCATCGTGTGGTGTCAAAGAACGTCTGCTGACAGAGCTCTACAGAAAGTTCTTCGGAGCGAAAGGATCCAAGCCCGAACCCCAGCAGAGCAAGCTGAGCTTCGCCACCAAGACAGCCCCGAAGAAGGAGGTTAAGAAAGAGGTCGAAGAGGAGGTCGATGCAGATAAAGATGCCGTTCAGACACGGGCATCTCCTAGCAGTATGTTGTCATTTCATACGATGGACGTCTCCTGTTTCAATTGAATAACGAGTCTACTACAGAGCCGCGGAAACGTACCAGAAGCCCGAGTCCCGCCGTACAAGCATCGAGCCCGAAGGTCAAGAATGAGATTGTGGAAGAGGATGAGGACGATGAGCCTGCCACAAAGAGACCGCGCAGAGGCCGCAAACGTGTAATTGAGGACGAGGACGAAGATGAAGTGATGGACGAAGCTCCTAGCAAGTCCCGATCAAAATCACCAAAGACCTCCCAGGCCAGAAAGAACGGCACAGAGAAGCCTGTAAAGGCCGCAAACGCATCCAAGACTGCCCAACCGAAGAAAAGCGCCAAGTCTCCTACACCTGTCGTGGAGGACGATAAGGAGGATGCAACGGAGTCTGCGTCAGAAGACGACGTAGTTGAAGACGACGAAGAGGAGGCCAAGCCTACAGCAGCGAAGAAGAAGAAGGCCTTGGAAAAGGTGCAGATGAAACTGAAGACCCAAACAAAGGACCCATATCCCGACTGGAAGGCGGGCGAACCAGTTCCCTATGCCGCGCTCTGTACCACCTTTTCTCTGATCGAGCTCACGACCAAGCGGCTCGAGATTATGGCACACTGTTCGCTATTCCTCCGACAGGTTCTGCGTCTGACCCCCGACGATCTTCTTCCCACTGTTCTGCTCATGATCAACAAGCTGGCTCCTGACTATGCCGGCATTGAGCTGGGCATTGGTGAGTCGCTCATCATGAAGTCCATTGGTGAATCCACGGGACGAAGCCTCGCAGTCATCAAGCAAGACCAGAAGGAGATTGGAGATCTCGGCCTCGTTGCCGTCAAGAGTAGATCAACACAGCCAACCATGTTCAAACCCAAAGCTTTGACGATACGGGGAGTTCACAAGGGTCTCATGGGCATCGCCACTGTTTCTGGCAATGGTGCCCAGGGCCGTAAGGTTGACGCCATCAAGAAGTTACTATCAGCAGCCGATTCCCATTCCTCCGGAAAGGTGGATATCACGAAGGACAAAGGCGGTCCCAGCGAAGCCAAGTATCTTGTCCGATTCCTCGAGGGTAAACTTCGATTGGGACTGGCAGAGAGGTCTGTTCTGGTGTCTTTGGCTCAAGCTGTGGTCTTCCACGAGGCCGACGCCAAAGGTCAGGTACCCAAGACGACAGACGTGGAACAGGCTGAGGCCGTTCTCAAGACAGTCTACAGGTTTGTGGCTTGGTCTCACAATTAACCATATCCTCGTATTAATCTTGTTTAGTGAACTTCCGAGTTACGATGTCATCATCCCCGCCATGGTAGAACACGGCATCATGCATTTGCGCGAGCATTGCAAGCTGAAGCCCGGCGTGCCCCTGAAGCCAATGTTGGCAAAACCAACGAAAGCTATCACTGAAGTTCTGGACCGCTTCGAGGACCAGACCTTCACAT